GAACTAAATCAAAAGCATACATTTATGAAGGAACATAATTTTATTCATAAATAGTGGTTGAAATGTCTGAATTATTTACAGTTGTGTTGACCAAACAAATATTTATTTAATAAGTAAAGTTACATTTAAAGGGTGATTGACTGAATTTCTGCACAGTAATTCTGTGAAAGTTTGGGGACTAAAGGCATACTAGGTAAATTACTACCTCGAGAATGTTGACCTTACATGGGACAATTTCAGTATGGTAAGTATGATTTTATCATGATTATAGTACACTATCAGTCACCAGAAGCTCTAGATGACATCACGTACATGTACTATTAATTTTCTTAAAATGGAATGATGGGTAGACAGTATTAGGGAAGACATCAAAAGCTTGAAACTGCAGAAGGCCAACCCGCTAGACAGAGGCAGCTGGAGAGCAGCTATTAGACCTAAACGACACCCCACAACGTCCAACCCTTGCATGACAGGGAACGGACGTTAAGCTGTGCAGTGAGTGAGTGAGTGGAACTTCCTACCTTGAGAATGTTGAGGTCATACTGGATGAAACCTTTAAAGCAGACGCGCGCTCGAACTATATCCAGGTTATAGTTGATGATGCCAAAATTGGCGGTGGCGTACACTTCGTCCAGAACATCGATTCCAAACCTCCCGTTCAGAAGTGCTGAGTCACAACAGAAGAGTAAAAAAAATGGTTTAGTTTGGTCAAACAGTACCCGTGCAATTGCAGCCTTTATAGCGCTGCAGTGAAGCAGGATTTACAATCGGTTTACAATCACATTTAAGCATCAATCAATAATCACAAACAATCACGTAATATACATACATAGAGCTGTGTACCGGTACGCAGTACCGATACTGTACCGGAAAAATTGATTAGGTACAGGTCCAAAATACCTAATCCCTCAGTACCGGTACTGTACCTAAACAATTTCACACTAATTTTATGCCTATCTGTGACCTCAAATGTGTAAATAGCTGGTCCACAATGGGTCCCTGTGTAAGGACAGTGTGTTCATGAAAACAAAAACAACTTAGTTTTGCCTATATTTTATCTGAGCATTCGCCATAAACAAAGAATAAACCTTAACTATCAAGTTTATTTATGTTTTTTTGTTATTGAAGGAGTTCAGAAGAGCATATAAATTGGTCGAATTGTTCAGGTACAGGTTCAGGTCCGGACCTGTACCTAAACCTGTGTACCTGTACCTGTACCTAAAATTTGTTTAGGTACACAGCTCTATACATACAACATATCTGCTCCACACACGTTCTGTGGAACTGTCGTAAGGGTCTGTGCGGCTGCCATTCGGCACTACAAGGTGACCTCAATACGACTTTCCCCAACCGAAGTTAGGTACCCATTCACACCCGGGTGGAGTGAGGAAAGTCGAGTAAAGTGCCTTTCCCAAGGGCACAACATCAGGGTGCATGTCCAGACATGTCCCGGGTAAAACTCGGGATCGAACCCGGGTCTCCCTGTTTCATAGTCCGAAATACTCTACCACTATGCCACCTGATGCCTCAATGACAAGACAATTAGTAGAAAACTATCAACAAAGATTGTAACAATGCTGTATGCTATGATTGTAGTTGACAAACCTTGCTCTAATAAAGCATTAGATATTTTATAGTGCATATAACATGTTGTTTGTTTATCACAAAATTACATTCATCTAGATCTGACCTTGGAATGACTGCTTGTACCTAACAATGTACGTAAATATCATTTATCTTTTTTATGATGTGCCTGAAAACTTTATTTATCTATTTATTTATTTATTTATTGAGCTTTACAGATTTAAAAAAAAAATCTGTGAGGAGCCGGCAACTTCTAGAATGTCTGAGTGTTCAATCCTGCCGGCAAAATTTCTTTAGACTGAGAAGGAAAATTAATAAGAAAAAGTGAAAATTCAGTATAGAGTGCTCATTTTGATGCAGAGGAAGATATAATACATGTACAAGTCATGTATTCACTTCCAAAATTATAGATAATTTTTCATCTGTACAATGTCCTAAATATCCTTGTTTACATACATATAAACAGGTCCATGACGTTCCGAATGGTCAGTCCAAAACTTGCCCCGACTTTGTCAGATCCAATCTGCTTCTTCCACTCAATGCCTGGCAGCTTCAACTTGAATTCGAACTTGAAGTTTAAGATGTCATTCAAGATATTCCTTTTCAGTCGTGAATGATCGTTGGTCTCTAGGCCAGTTATGTTTGTCAATCTGAAACAAGAGATAATATAATAAAAGTTATTGGTTTTCACAGATGTAAATCAAGATTAGGCAACTGCTGAAAATGGGGGAAGTTCCCTATTGGTTTTAACAGACATGTGGGTGTAAGTGTCCATAGCAGGATTTTGTGTTGGTTTGTGCCACACAAACATGGTATGGCATGTTTGTCATGCTTGTGTTTTGTGTGTTTTGTGTGCAGGTATGTGAGGATGTGTGACTGTGATGGTTTTGTCTGTGATGTTTGTGTACAGGCTGTGTAGTTTGTGTGTGTGTGTGTGTGTCTGTGCATGTGTGTGTGTGTGTATGTGTCTGTGCATGTATGTGTATGTGTGTGTGTGTGCACGCATGTGTGTGTGTGTGTGCATGTGCATGTGCGTGTGTGTCTGTGTATCAGTGTGTGTAGTGTGTCTGTGTACTGTGCATGTCTGTGTGTGTGTGTCTCATGTGTGTGTGGTGGGGGGGTGTCTGTGCATGTGTGTGTGTGGGGGGTGTCAGTGTGTAGGGGAGTGCATGTGTGTGTGTATGTGCAACAGAAAGAGGTAGAGAGTAAAAAAAGGAAAGTGCCACGAATTTACCCTCTGACAAGGTGGTAGTGGAGGTCATTTATTGGCACAGCCTTGGGATGTCTCCTGTACTCTAAGAGAGCATCATAGCGGACATGGTCCTCATGATCGCCATCCACAGCCAAGCGAAGCAAGGTTGATGCAGCCTGTGGTGTCAGACATCAAACATCACAATCAAGCATATGCGCATGCATGGACCGCAGATTTCTGCATACTAAAGCAAGCAAACTATGGAAACACATGTCGATGAAGGTTAGACATCAAGGTAATGAGATACACATTCAAGAAAATTGGATAAATTATGTATTATCAAAATTTACTCATCTGCTTGAGTAACAATTTTCTTGAATGTGTACATAGAAGGTTAAGTTACACATATTATGAAGACACCACTGAATATAATTAACATTTTCTCTGCTGCCTAATCCCACAACCAATGCACATTAAACAGCTAAAGGTTGAGGGATGGAACCACGTACATGTTCATGTTTATATTTGGCGATTGCTGCCATACCACTCCTCTTCAGCAGCTGTGGAGAGTCGGTGGTGTTGATGTAAGAAAGGATGTGGTGGTAGGACCGGTCCAGACCAGCATTTCCCAGGGACAGGAGTAATGTGGCTTTCCTCTGCTCGTGGTGGTTCACGTATGTCTTGTTGTTGTAGGGGATAGTGAAGTTGTTTTCGTTCTCCTTGGCTTTAGCCATTTCAGCCGATCGCCTGGCCCTGTGCTTAACAGGATCTGAAGAAGCAAAGAAAAAGAAAAAACAATAATAAATTAAATTAATACATATAGCATGAAAATTAATGATGTATTTTGTATAATGCTTTAGGCTTACTAAACAGTGACAAGATCAAGTGATATTTGAATGAAAGCTCATCTGTGTTGGTAGAATCCACATTGTAGAGTTCAAACTTTGTTCCAACACAAAAGAATAAATACACCATAAAATAGTGATATAGTCAGTATAAGTACACTCACTTGAAATTCAAATCCAAATGATGTAGAAATATATATACATGTACATGTAGTGTTGCATGCGTATTGTGTATTTATTTCATCGGTCAAGCAGGATCAAAGCACATTTCTTTGCAAGTGACAATTTGCAACTTGAATGCTTCTTCATGTACATGCAAGCTACTAGTAGACATAGTTCAAACTTAATTGCTTTCAAGTTGCAGTAAAAGTTTCCAGTCTCCAAATGAGATATAACATGCAAACAGTATAAAACACTCAAGAAGTAAAAAATATATATATTGATGATATTACCATGAGGTTGGAGTTCTGCTTCCAGTTTGGCAACAACTCTTTCAGATCGGACAGGGTCAGTGGACATCAGTTTCCCTGCGATGTGGCCCAGGAGGAGGGTGGCCATCGCCATAATGTCCTCATCATCTGTAGTGAGAAATACGGTCAACTTCAGTTAACGTCCACCCCACGCCATATATGGCGCGTACATTGTATGGTGGTGACCATCTTTGTTAAGGGCTTGAAATATATACTGTACTGTACTGGGTGCATAATTATGCACCTTAGTGCAGGTAAAATTCAAGGGGCTGTGCAGGTATTTGTCATGTCTACCTGCACCTGACTTGCACTGGTGCGTGTACTGGACTTACCGGGACCTGTACACACTAATGTGAAACTGTGTACATTTACATGTTTTTTCGCTGGATATTTGGTTGCATTAAAATTTTGCCTGTTGCAGAGGATATCTTTTCCGACATATCATTTTGGAAACCACAGACATGCATAATACAACTTTATATGAGACGTTCTGCCAAAGTACTATGTACATTACGGATTTCGTGCAGGTGCAGTACGTTCTGCCGACGTGCTATTTTTTCAGGACTTAAGTCTAAATCTAAAGTACTGTACCTGAGGCGTGGTCTGCTGGAGGGTCTGTCCCAAATACAAAGTCTTCAAGAACCTCAATGAATATCTGAAAATGTACATTAAACAGATATAAGACAAATAAGATAAATAAGTCTGTGATCATGTTAAAACTGGAAAATGAACCTTACTTGCGGCAGTTGTACATGTAATTGTTTTGTAGAGGCTTATACAGAATTTGTGTTGCTATGTGTAATACGGTGCATGTTGCATTCCACATGTATTGTACTGTCACAAACTGAACAAAATAAAGATGAAATTATGCAGCAGTCTTTCTTTCTCTCTGTCTATGTGAAGTTTTAAAAAATTTCATCAACATAATATAATTAAATTATATTATGTTTGGAATGAAATTTTTAAAACTTCACAAGTTGAA